CCTTATTATTCATGATGTACCAAGGATTAGAGGCCAAATTAGAGGGAAGTGGACTGGGCTTCAACCTCTCTTTCGTCAAACAAGGAAAACTCATTGAACAGGCACTACCAGCATTGATGTACGCAGATGATATAGTGCTAATGGCCGACAACAAGGAAGATTTGCAGAGATTGATGGACATCTGCGGTAATGAGGGAGATAGGTTAGATTTCAGATTCAGTAAGGAAAAATCAGCAGTCATGATTTTTAATGACAATGAAGGTAGTGAGCTTAGAATACAGGAGGTCACGCTAGAAATAACAGAGAAATACAAATACCTGGGTGTATGGATAAGCAATGGGGCCGAGTACCTAAGGGAACACGAAATATATGTGTCGACTAAAGGTAACAGGAATGCAGCGGTAATGAGAAACAGGGCACTGTGGAATTACAATAGGTATGATGTTGTGAGAGGAATATGGAAATGGGTCATGGTTCCTGGTCTGACGTTCAGCAATGCGGTCTTGTGCATGAGATCAGAAGTTCAAGCAAGATTAGAAATTAAGCAACGCGGAATAGGTAGGCTTGCCTTAGGAGCTCACAGGAATACACCAAATCAGGGAGCACAAGGTGATATGGGATGGACATCACATGAGGACAGGGAAGCTAGCGGCAAGATAAAATTCGAGAAGCGATTGAGAGAAATAGGGGAGGAGCGTTGGGCTAGGAAAGTATTCAGCTACTTGTACATGAAGAATGTTGATACAAAATGGCGGAAGCGAACCAGAAAATGGACTGGTAAATACTTGGAAAACAGCAGGGGGCCAAACCAAAAAGAATTATCGGTTAAGAAGAAGGTGAAGGAAGCTGAGATCAATATGTCGAGAATTGGCATGATTAAGGAGTCCGCACTAGAGATCTATCAAACTTTTAAGCAGGAAATAGCCAAGGAAAGGATCTATGATAATACTCGGGGTAGTTCTCTACTGTTTGAGGCCAGGACGAGAGTATTGCGAACAAAGACATATCGGGCCAAATACGAAGGGGTACACACGGTATGCAGTGCGTGTGGAGAGGAAGAAGAAACTGCCGAACACTTGATAATGTTCTGTAAAGGGCTTCACCCTATAGTTCAGGTTGATGGCACAGAGTTTTTCAAAGCACTGGAGTTTAGGGACAGTGAGGGCAAAATCGACTTTAAGCTGGTAGGCTTAACTAGAAGGAGGTTATCTGATCGGTCGCTAAAGCCAAAGCACGAGTGAAGATTGAACCCTTCGCTGCAAAGTACGAACTCTCAACCTCACTATTTAAGGAAAAAAAAATCTAGTTTTTGGTTCATTATGTTAGGTGGCGGCTAGGTGGCGCTAACCACCGCCCGATCTAAAGGGTACAGCCATATCCATCCATGCATTTATGTGGTTTCGGGACGTAAAACACCAGATATTATTATGCAATGTTTTCCAATTCTGGAGGCAGGGCATAAACCACGCTAGCTGCAGAAAGCTTTTCGATGGGGGCGGCTTAGAAACCAATTTATCGAGTAAAATATGTATATAAAAGATGATCTCAACCTTTCATAGTAGTCTTCGGCGAATGCACGAGGCACACTGCGAGCTTTTTCGTTCGTTTTGCTTGTAAAGCAGCGGAGAGTGAAGATCTCAGGCGAAGTCGCCGTTTGGTGCCGACACCCGGCTGAGCCGGCCGATTGGGGAAAAAAAAATGATAGCAGTAGCATTGTGCGAACTGAGGAGGGAATCTGCGTTGTAATTTGGGTGCACGTTAAAGAACCCCAGGTGGTCTAAATTTCCGGAGCCCTCCACTACGGCGTCTCTCATAATCATATAGTGGTTTTGGGACGTTAAACCCCACATATCAATCAATCAATCAATCTGCGTTGTATATTTGAAGAAACAGGTATATAGAAAAACGCGTCGAAATTGGATTTCATTACTGATTCGAGATGGTATATCATACGACGAAGTTTCAAGAACACGAACCTTTGCTGACACTTTAGTACACGAAAACACACACACACACACACACACACGCGAGCTGTACGATGACGCACGGACATCAAATGGACGACGGGCTCGCTCGCTGGATTTCGTGCCGACCTGTTGTGTCCCCGCGATCTCCGACGACAGCGCGCAGCTCTTGCCGACTGGCTCGCCGTATACGCACGCCATCTCCTGACGCCGACAAGAGCTCTCGCCGAGTGGTGCCCCGTCCTCGAACTCCCGCGACTGTGTGCATCTTTTCTATCTTCTCCTTATTTTTTGTATGTGGGTCTCTCTGTCCCTGCCCCTATCTCTATCCCTATCTCTTTCATTCCTCCCTATCCCTTTTAATCTCTCCTTTCCCCCATCCCTCGTAAGCTACTGTTGAGGTGTCGCACTATGATGCAGACAGTTACGGGGCTCAATTTTATTTTATTTTCTTTCTTTTAAGAATAACTTACTGCTACTATAGTGGACGGCGCACATTTCAACAATGATTTCAACAGCATAAAATATGTCAGAGGGTATACGGCGTAATGAAGCACGTTCTAAATAAACGCGCCACGCTTTCGGCAACAACGGTTACTTCGAAAAATATTGCACCAACGCTAGCTAGGCTGCGCGTACAACTCAGCCCACGTCAAGTTGCTGGGAAAGATTACAAAACAAAAAAGGCAAGGTGGTGAACCAGTTTGTTATATTACGTACAGGGAAGGGCTTATGAGACGAAAGAAAAGAAAGGATATAGTAGTGCTAAGCGGTTGTTTATTTATAGAAACACACACACACACACACACACACACACACACACACACACACACACACACACACACACACGCACGCGCGCACGCACGCACGCACGCACGCACACGCACACACACACACACACACACACACACACACACACACACACACACACAATACGGCAGTGGTTCCAAGCCTGAACGAGTGGAGCCGGGTAGCTTTGTTTGTTTCTCTTCTGTTTTAGTTTTCTTTCTTCTTCTCTTTCCCTCCTGTTCTCATTTCCATTATTTTCTGTGTTTTTCTTTCTTTAGTTTTATTATTCATATTTTTTCTTTCTATTTCTCTCTTGCTTCATCTCAGATTGTATACATCGCTTGCGTTCCGATGCTGCCCTAAATGTCTGCGCTTTATATCATCCTCAAAGAACTCGAAGAACAACAACAAGAAGAATTTTCTCTGGCGTGAGCATGCGCTCAATATGCTACATCTGGTTATGCTGTATGCCTGCGATACGAAAAGCGGTGACGACAGAATACGACAGCATGCAACAGCCTGGTCTTTAAAGTGCTACACACTTGAAAGAAAAAAGAAGGATGAAAATTAAAGTTTACTTCTTGCTGCACTGTAACTGTCTCGCAAGAGCTTTCGACATCTAAAGCTTGCTCGTGAAGCGCTGTAACTGTCTAGCATTAGTTTTTTGACGCCTGAACGGTGACGAGCAGAGCGGTTGGAAGTAGAGACAGAACAGCAAAACGAGAGAGATGGGACGGCAGATAGGAAGAGAGAGAGACAATAGTGAGGCTATATCTGATATATCGTAGATTATCAGGTGCACGCGCCGAAGAACATACCGATAACACGTGCCTCCACCCCTCGCCACGGCGCATGCTCCGGCCTCGGGCCATGGTATTAAAACCAAGACAGCAGCCTCGTGAATAAACATTGTTCCTTCTTGTTCTGGCCATGCATCGTCTTATTCTTCGCCCTTACGATACTACAATATCGTTCCAACAGGAAGTCTGCTTCGGCATTGCGATTCCCTAAGTTTTGCGTCAGGTGCCCCAGAAGTTTCCCGGACGTTCGCGTAAAGTTTCCCGACGACGAACCACGATGAAGAGCATGAAAAAAAGTTATTCCCGAGTGGGCACCGTCGCGAGGATGAGCGCAAGTCGATGTGTAGACTTGTTAGCATCTATGCGGAAGCGAACGGCGAACAACTTTTCCCCCCAACTGGAATCCCTTCGTGCGGCGGTGAGAGTGAATGGATATAGGGCGACCGCCAGAGCCCCGATCGAAGCACCGCGACCCAGACACCCTGTGAGACTAACAGGAGCAAGACTGGAGCGTCGGGCCTTTCTTGTTACTCCGGCGGCTGTCTGGCCCGGTGTATACACTGCTGGCCGCCACTAAACGGCGAGAAAAGTCTTCGTCGCGAGAGAGCGGGAGACCCGTAAGAAAAGTATGAATGGCGAGACAGAATGGCCAGGGAGAGGGAAGGCTGGTCTGTCTGTGTGTGCGACCACGTGTGTGCGTGCGCGCACTTGCGGAGAAAAGCAGTGCTTAGTTACGCTGTTTGGATAACAAAGCGAAAGTGCTCGTGAGCGCGATGTGTATGGCAAGGCTAGGCCTAGAAATGGAAGTTGTTCATGTTTTGTGTCCACGGCTAGTACTGTTGGAGCCTCGACACTTACCAGAGCGCATATTTTTTTTTTCACTGCACGCGGATACCGTTGGTTCTCTTTTACCTACATGACAGCGTTTCCATTGGGTCGATCTGCCCTGACTCGACACATCACCGCACTCTTTTTTTTTCTTTGTACGAGCGTCGAAGACGTACACATAAGTTACCTTACGTGTGTTCATCCCTGGCGTTGCTGCTTTACGTCGGCCAGAGCGGGTTCCCATGTTTCACAATTGCGGGCGATATCTTTCTGGTAAGCGAATTCATCGTTAATCGTCTCATACTCCACTCTTTCTTTTTCATTCCTCGACTATCTCGAGATTACTCGAAGAAGAAAAAAACTTCTCTTGCTCGCGCCCAGTACCGCAGAACAGAGTTTGTATGAGATGCTCTTCACAAACGCCTCCCAGCAGGGAGGGCATGTGCGATCCGAAAGTGAGACGGGCAGCCGCCGGAGTCTCTTATAGTATACAAACACTCCGCGCTCGCCCAGGGGAGGGAGACCGGCGGGGGAGGGGCGACAAAGAAGGCGGGCGAGGGGGGGCCCGCGCCCCTATAAGAAGCGGCGCCAAGCCCCTTGCACGGACTGATCGTGGCACGCTGTGTACCTGCCCAGTTATCCTGGTCAGGCCAACTAGCTTAGCAAAAGTCTCAGCCTGTTGTGTCGCGCAAGTTCCAGGCTACCCCCCAGGTTAGGAACTTCGTCGCCTTCAGCAGGTCGTCAGGCCAATCTTCTCGCACGGCGGTCCAGCTGCTCGACTTCAGCCCACGGCCTTTCACGGGGTCTCGGAGACCAGCCACTTCCGCAGTTCCCGCGAGGAGAAGATGAGGACGTGCCGAGGGTCACCTCGCGGTCGTCTGTCGACGGCGCTGTTCCTGGTGGTCGCGTGGGCGGGCTCGGTCAACGCCGACGTCTCCACCACAGGCTGCGGCAACGAGTCGACGTCGGCGCCCGCACTGCAGTTGCTGTCGCCAACCCCGCTGCTGAGGCCCAATGCGTCGGCGGCCGAGGCGCTACAACGCAGGGCGGACGAGCTTTCCAACGCCGTGTCCAATACCAGCTTTGCCGAGTCCCGGAACAACGTCACTGTCTACGAAATACGGCACAGGTGAGTCGACCAGACTCAGCGCGAACCTCTAAGGGAAAAAGCCGCATGCCGGACACTTCTCGAGTCTTAACCAGTCTTCTGGCTGGTTCCTAATGCTGAGAACGCTGTATATGCATCGTGAGCTCATGTAATGTAAAAAACAATCTATTTGAACAAGAATACTTATCTGAGTTATCATTACTCTACATAGTCACTGGTAAAAAGGGTAAATCTGTTATCTTGTATAAGGGCAGGTAGAGCGTGGGCGGAGCTCCTTGTCCGGGATCTCCGTGAAGAACTCCGCAATCTCACAGGCCTATATCGGAATAGGGGCAGACGCGTCTTAGGAGGTCCGTAGCAGAGATCATTTTCCCGCGGCAAATGGGTTGCACGGGAGGGAAACTTTTTGTGGCGCATTCCACCGCGTCACTCATGAAAGCCGTTGGTGAACTACCCGTGCCGAGGCGAGTGGTTCCCCGACAGGTATAACATTTTCTTTAGCAAGCGATTGTAACATACGATGTTTGGTGAATATGGGCCAATATTTAAAGAACGTGACGGCATGTGGTGTTTTTTAAGGCAGCAAAACAAGCCGTGGCACTGGAACATCGGTATAGTAAGTGTGCAGGCGATTGGGCTAAAGTAAAGCCCATATTCAGAAAAAATCACTCGGGTTAGAAGAATCCACAAGAGAAAACTTACGTCGATCCTGACATTGGACACGTTAGCTACGAGGTCGGCCAGTGTATGACAAGGAACACATACGAATCGAAATATCAGTGAAGACTGGCCCGGGCGCCGTATTCGTAGAGAAAGACGTTTTTACGCCAGAACGGCCCATAAAAGCATAATCAAGGCAGTACCTATGCTAGATGTATGACTAAAGAAGGCGGCCAACCAATAACGACAGAGCACTTACGAAATAACGGCTGCACGAATTCGGCCACGAACGTATTACTTAGACCTTGATTCTTTTCTGGACTTGTTAAAAATCAGTGAAGACAAACAGAAATAACTCAATTATGAAATATAAAATATGTAATATAGCAATACGGACAAAAACTTATTGTAAACATAATCTCTGAAAACTTACTTATTAGATTCAGCCTATGTGTTGTACGTCACCACAAAATATGCGACTAAGCTATGCAAAAAGACTTCTGCAAAGTGTCTTTCACCATGCGGCGTCTCTCATAATCATGTCGTGGTCTTGGGAAGCTAAACCTATAGCAATCTTTATTATTAAAAGCGTCATGAGGAGTGACCCCTGCTCCGCAGTGGTCGTAGTTAGGTTGATAATGATGATGACCAGGAGTGCACCACAAGATCGCCTAAGTTGTCACGGCGACCTATAGAGCTACGTGGCTCTCGATTTTACAGTCTCAACGCACGTATCCTGCAGCTGCACGCGTTTAGGGCGCATTAAAGAAGACGCAGTTTACTGAACTTCCATGTCTGGTTTTATTCCAAAGTAACGAATTTTCAAGCTTCTCGCATTGCTTCTTAAAGGTTATATCCATATTCGAATTTTTTTTTCGTTTTAAAAACGAACAGAAAAATCGAAGGCGCGGGCAAAATTCCTGCTTCCTTTAGCGAACATCTTCTCAACCTCCCGGCCTTTTTCACTCCTTCTTGCTTTTGTTCAATGCAACATATATGTACTTCATGCAAACCAGTTCATTAGTTCAGTTGTTTTAGCACGCGCGCGTTAACATTCGTCCAAATGACAAATGAAAAAAAAAAACTGTAGCCGCGACACCGCGCTCATTAATCTTCACTGGCCAGCGGCGGGTGCTTTGCGCTAATGATAGCTCTCGCCGCGATAACCAGGTGGCCAACACGCCGGCGCTAATCAATTCTGGAATACTATAATCATTCCTTGAAGAAAACAAAATATTCGCGAACACCTCCAAAGTGATCACTTTCTTGATTAAATATCTCTCTGGTCCGAAGACCATTTACAATTATTGAGGATGAAACGTGAAGTATTTCTTTTTTTTTACACAATGAACGGAACCTTATTTTCGGGCATATATAGAGTTTGCCCCCGAAGGCAAAATCGGAACTTAAGACCTCCTTACTATACCTTACCTCGTCAGGGGAACAGTAATGGCTTATTTGAACGTTACAAATGATCTACGACATAATCAATAATTGCAGTAATGACATTCACAGTCAGTACATCATAAAATGCAGTATGAACAACAGGGACATAATTATTAACGCAGGAACTAGTGACACTTAGCAACACTTAGCATAATACCAAATGCCGTAACCATCTTTATTATTATTGAAGCCACACTTATATTAATATTTATACGACGCATTCAATTCTGAAGCAGAAGGCACGTTCACTAAGAAATGTTAAAACTTACTAATTGTTTTTATACTCGATGGTTTGCATAGCGTTAGTGAATATTGTGTGCAGGTTGGCCTCGACAATGCGCTCCATTGTAACATGTCTGTATGCTTGCCCACAACTCTCGTAATATGCCCTAACCTTGCCGGCTACGTGCTTACTGTAACCATTTTTCACCACTCCCCCCCCTCCCCCTTTAATTTTTTCTCTTGGTATATAGTAGCAGGTCAGAACATACTGACTCTGACCGACTTACTTCTTTGTCTTCACCCTAGAAACTCTCTCTCCCCCTTCTCCTTTCGATATACAGTTTTTTTTTTCCTTCTCCGAGAGCAGTTTAGCTAACACAGGGCGAAGGAACACTCGATTAATGTGTCCTACTCCTTGGCCCTCACTGAACGATTTTCTGTCATCATTTGCCTCAAAGCAACCTTTCCCCAACACTTCACACGGGACCCGTATAAGGTACTTCGCAATAGGTGATAAAACAAACACGGCACTCGTTTTGTCTCGCGCCTGTCACGTGTCTTTGCGCGGTTCGAGCTTCAATCCCGGCATACCAACTCGCCCAGACACGTCAGGCAGCCCGTCGGAATACTTTCGCGGTATAACTTGCACGCCTTCCTACACCTTCTTGTTTCCTTTATCACCGAAAAACAAAAGTGCACGAAGAAAAAAAGCATCCCTCCGACGGACGAAGGGAACACGTGTGATCGATGTGATGATCGGTTGCTCGAAGCGGGCCGGAAGCCGCGCTTCCCTCGGTGTCTTATTTCTCCTCTTCGAGGCGTCCTGGGAAAGAACTGTTCGGGAGATAACGCGAGGCGAGATGATGTCGGAATGCGCGCGCGGGCACGCACGATAACGTCACGCGATGTGGTCTGTATACACCGACGGCGCCAGATCGCAAGCGTGAGAGAATTGGCGGAAGAGGGGAAAAGCCGAGAGCGCCGACGTGATGTGCGCGATTGACGCTCCCAAGCCAATTAATGGTTTATTTGTTGGTAGCTAACGCGGTTGCTTGGGCGAGTTGGTACGACATGATTCACATAAAAAAACAGCGCCAATAACGAGGGACAAGAGAAAGAAGGAGACAGACAGCGGCACTGACTTACAGCAAGATTTATTTGCTAGAACCGCACAATATATACTTGGGCAGTATCTGACAAAAAAAGAGAGAAAAATACAAAACAAAGAAAACGGAATCCACCTAACAACCACGTAGTCATCGCCACAATGCACCATGAACATTTGTTGGCTTGTTCTCCGGAAGGCGATCCAGTGAAGCAACGTAACGACAACGGAGAAGAAGGTTATTGTTATCAGCATCATTATTTTCGTGTGTCTTACATCATTATATACGCACGGAAAGTGAGGGTATTGTTATATATTTCTTGTTACATTTACCCCCACCCCCTGCGCCGCAAAAACAAGACAGTTTTTGTTCTTTTTTTTAGAGATATATACATTGGATTGAGCACCATAATCTCCGATGTAATCCGCAGTCTTTATATTTTATAACCCCCCTCATTCAGAAACGTCACGATATTTACAAAACCACTCAATTATTGCCTAATCACCCAACGTGGGTGAGCCCCAAAGTTGATAGGCGAACAGGCAGGAGAAGAAGACCCGCTAGGGTTGAAGGAAAAAACAAACAAGTAATTGGGAAACTCGACCACCGACAGTTTGCGCAGCTAATGAAATGGTTTCAAAAAGAGAGGCCTGGTCAGCTATGTAGTTACACTCGTCGAAGGATATCATAGCGCTAGTCCATTTTTCGTCTCAGTTCTCCTCCGTGTCGTCTAGCGCTCCGATACCTCTTGATTAAAAAAAAATACCACTAGTGAACCAGGCGGCGCTGTCACTGGCGTGAATGGTCACTGATCATAAACCTCACGACGTCAATCTGCAGTAAGCCCGTATTAGTGTAGACTCATGTTAATCCATCCTCGAGGATGAAATACCGTTGACTTCTAACGTTGTACCAACTTACATGTCTCACCTATGTCGCAGGCGAGCTTTTCCACATGACTCCGGCTTAGTGCAAAAAAACAACAGCAACAACTGGTAATTAAAAAAATATATATCCTCCCTCCCCATGAAAAGGAACACTTTTTAGAAACATTAGGAAGTGACAGCCTTGGTCTGTTTTACATAGGCTACTTAATGCATAAAGGAGCTTTTCAGACAGGAACAAGTTCGGTTCAGCTTTGCGGGATATCCCTTGGAACTTCTGAAGTATCGGTATATACATTCCACTGCAGGGCCCTCACCAGGTAAGAAGCAATGAATTTTCTTTTTAAAAGGGACGAAGTTGGAGTCGCACTTTTACCATTGTCCACAAAAACACGCATTTATAGCAGAACAAATGCTGTTCCCCAGTTACAACGCACTTCGCTTTGTTAAACCGGCCAGCGCCTCCCCTAACCGGCGCAATAGTTTCTTGCGCTCCTTTTCTGTCCATCTTCCCTTTAATTTTTTCCCTGTCCCAGTGTTTAACGTCGAGGTGTTTCGTAAATACACGTTGGCGCAATGTTTTTTTTTCTCTCTAACATGAGCGCACTTTGGTACTGTAGAAGAAATCGTGCTTCCTACTGTAGCGGGAGTTCAGGCACTGGCTATCGATCGCAATAACTAAAGTGGGCAGGCCATAGTTTCG